CTGCGAGAATTTGTTTCGCACACTTAACTGTGTGAAGAACTTTCCCTTACCACATAGAGTGATTTGAGTGTCGTTTTGCTCCGATCTTTTACAATTTGAAAACTCTTAAGTGTAGAGTTTGTTCACCGTTTCATCTGCGCTCACTTATTTCTACTTCTTTCAATAGTCTCCTTATACAGTCAACCAGGATGAGATCCTCACGGACATATATTCCGCACCCAGTCAGTCTGTGTGAGTTTTCCAGCATCATGTTTCCTCAGCCGTAGCAAAATTAACTTTTAGGAGGCAGCTTTTCTGCGTACTTTCAGAATCCACCTGTCTTCCCATTCTATGAAGCTTGCAGATGCTAAATCGTGATACTATTTTTCGGAGGGGCTATTTTCAGCAGCTCAATCGCCTCAAAAACCAGCAGGGACTTTGTAGAGCGGCATGCTTTGTACAGCCAACGTGATAGTAGTTTGCAGTATCTCTTGTGTGCCGCCGGTGTTTAGTGGTCTCACAGAAGGGGCAAACAAATCTGATCTCTTGAATAAGTGTCATTTAAAGCTTTATGGGTGATAGACAATGAACACAAAAACAAAGGTTTGTATGTTGCTGTAACTGACAACAATAAGAAAATCCGACCGAAATAGGCATAAAAAGACATTATTAATTTTGGATACAAATAATGCTAAAGGATATACTCAACGAGGAAAACACTACTGCCTTTGTTTATCTGTACTCAAAAAGTGCAGATTACAAGTTACCTTAGAATGAGAAGATACACTTAGCGATTACTTTAACTGAAATAAATTCAATCAAAGCAAAAACTGTAGTCTTGATGCGTAATTAGACGACCAATATTACAAAATTTACTCATAGAGGCAATATAAAACACAATTATCGAAAACTTGTAAACTACTTTTCTACATGATCTTCCATAATCACAAATTCCATAAGTTTTTTTACCGGTGTAGACTTTATAAGAAGGCTTTGAGGACCTTCAAAGCTCCATAAAATTCTGAAAAACAACAAATCAGTCGTGAAGCAAACAAATAAACTTAGTTATCATTATCAAATTCAATAATTCAATCAAATAGCAGGTAACAGAATGTACCTATAAGTGTCTTATTTATAAACAGTGTTATTTATTAGTGATTTCGGGTTCCGTTAATAGAAATTCATTATTATTATTAGTAGTAGTACTATTATTATTATTATTCACAAACATCTTATGGGTACATAAGTGTTGTGAAGAAACCATTTTAGGTTTCTTCAAAAATGCAAAAATACACAAGTTTCAATAATGTTAGCATCATATTTGCCATATTTGAAAAAGAGAGTAATAATATAATAATAATAATATATCAGGTTCTGTGTAATTGAGAAGATTATTGAATTGACTTTAAAGAAGGAAAAGGAGAAAGTAAGGCATTAGAAATAAAGGAGACGTGAAACACTCAAATAGTTTATTAGGCGTGTTTATGAACACAGAATGAGAATAAACGACTATGTATGTATCGTCGAATTAGTAACAAAAAATAATTAAGGAAAAAATAACTTAATATCGCAGTAAGATATGACACTAGAATAAATGTTTGTGCAGTCATAGTTTGGAGTGATGCTATGAAAGTCACAATTCAGTGAAAAGGATAACCAAATATCAATATATATGAGTTATATATACATAGTGAAGATTAAACGAGTCTGAGAAGTTAATTTAAGTGTAACGCAAGTTTTTGTTTTAATAACAAACTTCGTAATCTTAAGAATAATATTTATTTAGACGGAAAAAAAGAGAGAAAAGAGATAAACACCTAGTGAAAGGATTAAACCATGATAATGATAATTGTGTAATGAATATCGACCTCTAAAGTAAACCAGCAATTTAAAAAATATAAAAAAATAAAAAAAAGATAAAAAAATCCTTTACTGCACTCGGATAAATACATGTAGATTTATGTAATAGTGTACAGAGTGAAACCGGATATAAGCATAAACATTTGTGCAATAATAATTAAGATTGATTCTATGAAAGTCACAATTAATTGCAATGGATAATCAAATATAAATTTCTATATGTTATATATATATGGTGATGATAAAATGAATCTGAGAAGTTATTTAAGTGTACTGTGAGATAATTTATTTTTAGTTATAGACTTTGGATGTTTAGAAATAATATATGTTTAGAAGGATAAGAAGAGATAAAAAGATTATTCTTATTACAGACACATCATAAATTAGTGTTAATTAAACTTGATTTAGTTACTATGCTTACAACAAACAGGCATCGTTTGACTTATGACGAAAATGTGACTGATTAATGTGGCACTTATAGCAATGTTATGCACAGTTCCTTGTTTCAACCTACATTTTACAAACAGCTATGAACATCCAAGTTCAACACCACCATAATTAAGGAGGTGAATGATATGCAAATGCTTTCACAGCTCATCTTTGCATATAACTCCGATATGGCTAAATAGATGACTAACATGACCACAACTCATAAACAATTAGAAAAGAACGTTAGTGTCCACTCGTCAGGATAGCCAAAAGCAACATATGCCTATATAGTACGTGCTTGCTGCTATTAAGAATCCACCATCTATTGATGATTTTGTCTTCCACATTAAACGTTATTTATCTCCACAAATTATCTTATATAACGTGTTGTTAATTTAACAATGTTTGTCTTATTGCTGAGTTTCATGGCCAGAAAGGAGATATGGATGTTAGAAATTTGTGACTTAGGTTGGACTGCAATGGTTCTGCGTTGTGCCTCTGCTAACTGTCAGTAATAACAGAACAAATACTACATTGAGTGATCACTACATTAAATTAAAACGGGAGTAATGTTGAACAAAAATCATAGTGAGTAAATCAATCAATCCCGTCATATCAGTTCAGTTGATTGATTTGTAGTCAGCGGTATGATTAAACCGGATTCCTTGAGCAACCTTTTCCTCTATTTTTTTCTTAGTTGTCTGTTCGTCAATCTAACTGTTAATCCTATTTCTCTCTATCGATCCAAAACAAATTAAGACGTATTATTTAAATAACATCTTGAACAGTTTGATCCCATTTTAGTTCACTGATGATTAGATCAGTTTAATGCAATCCTAGATTTATTTCATTCTAGTAAGATTGTTGAATATTCAGTTACCAGTGTTATTCCCACCATAACAAAATTACTGGTGAATCTCCTACTAGTTTCAATATAAGTCCGATACAGTTATTAAGAGTTATAGTTCCTATTGAAGTTAACAAGTACTCAGGTGGGAAAACCAACTTATTGTAGGGCTAAACTGTAAGCATGAAATATATTCTTGCGGTACTTCTCCTACTTAACTTCTTATACCACTGTTTCACAATGAGATTAACCAAAGTATAGTGTGTAAAATTAAATAGGGAATTATATACAACTGAAGTGGACAAGGAAACAACACATCCACTACATAGTACTAATTATTATCTGGAGATAAACTTTCTGTTGGTAGTAATACTAACACTAAAATACTACAACTAATACTTCATCCTCTTCAAAGGCTAAAATATTAATCTCATTGTACATACTAAAACATGAATATTTTATTGATCTACAACCAGTGTTAACTTAGAAGTTTTCCGTGCCATGGATACTGAATATTCAACTACAGTAATTTTGAAAGTTAACAAATTTTCAAAGATTTAGCCTCCAAAAATCGGTTAAACTTATAAATTAATTTTTCATTTATACAACCTTAAAAAAGAAATTCCCATATCCAATATGATTCAAGAATTGTTTATATTCATAATGCATCAACATAGATTGAATTATTTTCAATTTATTTCGTTTGTTCATCAATTATGCAAACACCTAGTTGTTAGCAAACAATATAACATGATTACAATAAAGTTAAATTTACCAATTAAATCAATCAAAGATCAGTATGTTTTTGAGTTAGAGAATGTTTTGTTCATTTTTTCTCCTTAACTTATTGTTCATGTACATTAAGACAAATAAACATATATGTATATGTTTTCATCTTAAATTTAAATTATCATAAGGCTGATAATATAATTTTAATAGTTGAATTTATAAGTCATTTAAAGCTAGACCATCATGGAAAACCTGGAAGAACTGGACGACAGATTCGTCCTAGTATGAGACTCCTCAGCAGTGCACATCCAGAATCCCGCCTGGCGAGATTTGAATCCAGGACCTATCAGTCTCGCGTGCAAGCTCTTAACCACTACACTACTGAATCGGCATCCAATGTTGTTAATGTCTAAATTCGACCAATCTCTCTTCCAGTGCTTCCAGGTTTTCCATGGTAGTCTAGCTTCAATTGATTTATGAAATCAACTATTAAAATTACTATAATATTTACAAGATATCCTCTCTGAATATAATTTTAGTTAAAAAAACATTCTCGAATGATCAAAAACAATAACAAAACAACCGTAAAAGATATTTATAATAAATTTATTGTTTACAAGAAATTGGTAAACAGATTATATAATAGTATGTTACTTATTAGTCAATAATGTAAAATGCATTGGAGATCTAAATGAAAAGCATCTCAAATAAGTGTCTACCATTTTATTTACTGCACCAACAGAAATATATATATATATATAGTTAATACTATTACTATTATTATTGTTATTATTTTTATTAAGAGAATATCCAAATGCAACACTATTGTTTATTTTATGCAAACTTACTTATATAACAATGAATACAACTTAATAAAATATAAACAATAATGAAACGTTATGTAATAAATAGATAAAATGATTTTTGAAATACAATAATAATAATAATAATAATAATAATAATAATGTTTTCTACATTGTTTCTTAAAGTTAACTTTAAAGATAACTCTTTCATTAAACTTAATGTAATTTTATACTCATCAATTGAAAATCAAGAAAAAAAAAGAAAAAAATCGATCATATTTGATTGAATGAAATTTTATCAATAAACGTTTTTCTTCTTTCTTGATTTTCCTCAGTTTTTGTTTTCTTTTATTCTCTTGAAATACTTATGATATTTCATGATATAAATAATCCATTTCTAATGAATTAATTATTTAATTCAGATTATTAACTATTTTAATTAACTAATTCATACTTTATACACATTATGAATAGATCTTAATTAATTGTTGTGCATTTATATTGTAGATTATTGTAATAAGGATTATGTAATGTCATATAATTAAGGCGAATCCTCATCACCATCGTTATCATCATCATCATCATCATCATCATCCAAATCATCATCATCGTCATCATCATCCAAATCATCATCATCTAGCTTTTCTATTAATTTTGATTTACATTAAGATTAAATCTATTCAAAGAGTTCATTTGTCAATGTATCTATATTGATGCAATAGAATAAATGTAAAATAAGTGTAATATATTGTTATACACAAAATTTCATGCAATAGATATTATTAATTTTTTTTTAAATTTACACAGAAATAAAAGAACATGTTTTATACAAAATTTATAATTGAAATGAATAACTGTAATGTAAATTGTTTTCTTTTTATGACACTTTATAATCACGTCTATATTTAGAATAAGGTCGTAAAGATAAAGAATATGATGGTTTTTGATGAATAGATGAAGGAATTTGAGCATTAATTGATGAATGCCATTCACGATGAATTGTTGGTATTTCAAGTGTTTGTTTAGGACGAAATACACTAAGAAGTTTTGTTGGTTCACGAAATTTTTCACATGCTCCACGATTTTCTCTTCTACGAAATCGTATTAATCTACGTTTCCAACTTGTACGCCATGGTAAAATTGCAGTTTTTGTTGAAAATAATAATTCATTTCTTATTTTATTTGTGAAACTTTCAAAATCTGTTACTATCAGATATGAAACACCTAATTCAATATATGGACATTTACATTTTAATTCATTTAGACGAACCCATACAGGAACTAATTCATTTGATTTTCTTTTCATCTCTTCTTCATGTTCATCTTGATTATATTGTTCAAACTCAATAAAAGATTTAGATGCAGGCCAGTAAATACTCGAACTTCCTCTAAAAAATTCTTTATTAATTCTCCAAATTTGTGTAATATGCATTTCAAAACGAGCCATATTTCCATGAAGTTCACGGGATTTGAATGAAGCTTCAAAAACTATAGTTAAAATGGATAAGGAACGAAAATAAGTTTATTTGAAAAAGACTGTAGGTTGACAATAATTCATTATATCAACGCTGTAAAATTACAAGAAATTTAAGCATATAACTAACAAGTACCATTGTGTGTGCTACTTATATTGACATAAGTAGTATATGACGCGAGTTAAAAACGTAATGTCTGGCAGCAGAAGTTGGGGGAAGATCAAGAAAGGAAGAGCGGGAACGCAATGCAATTTGTAAGAAAACGCATGGACCATAAAATGTGAGACAGTGGATTGATGATTGGAACAGCAACAGTACGGTTTGATATAATGGAATAATATTTTGCAAATTAACGATTTCTATATGGTTTTTCTATTTTACCAAGTATTTCTGTAAATTCGTGCTAACTACATTCGGTTGATACAATTTAATTGATAATGAGATGGGAGAAATATAGCTTTATTGACTGTATTTTATCTTTTATTTTCAACTTTAATTCGTTATCTGTTTTTAAGAAAGTAAATCATGAACATAATATCACAGTGAAACGTTTAGTCGATGAACGACAGTTTTTGTCTTCTTTTTGATACTTCATTAAATAGTCGATGGCGTGTCTTTTTTTCTGAAATCTATTGTCAAGTAATTTCAGGTTCGATGTCATGAGAAAGTATATACATTCAAACATTTGAGTCAATTATAAAAATCATTTCTAAAATTTATTAATCGTTCCTTTTATCATACCATATACCAACGGAGTAAATATCTCTTATTTTCATTTAGATAGATTAGCATTGCATGATGTCACTTGAATTATAAACATTCTTATTTGTTTTCAGTATGAAGCACAATTATATCTAAGAAGAACTGAAACATTGGATTACTTAAGTATCATTACCAATGTCTGACTTAATAACTTTAAAAGATAGATTGTTTGTAATAGGATTAATGAAATATAGGTCAATATGAAAATATCTAGATGAACAGTTAACAAAGGTACTAATTGATCATATGAGTAGATGAAACACTTAGTTATTATTTCTATAATTGTTGTAGAATTTGAAGGTATTTCAATTGAGTTTAGGCTAACTACTTAGGGATATTTGTAAAAACCTATACTTCATTCATTCTAAACTATTGAACTTGTTGGTAACCTGTCGGTAACCACCATATGAAAAGTGATCGCCAAGATTAGAAAGCGATTCAATCATCAAGACAATTCTTGTTTTAACTTTTAATTTTAATAAGTTTATCAGTCACAAAACAGATGTCATAACTTTTAGAGTGTAATTCCTAAACATATTGAAATAAAATAGAACTTGTTTTTTAAAAACTTCCTTAATGTTCTATCTAGTTATTATGACCGTACTGGATCTACGCTACTTCGTGGTAACTTAAAAACGATGTCAAGTATCTCACTGTTATTAAGTTAGTACTTAATACGAAATAAATATGTAAAGGGTTAAAACAAGGCTATATGAGAAAGGTTAATTAAGACAAGGAGTATGATTTTATGTCTTAGGAAATGTAGGCACTGTTTGCAGACTAATTTAATACACAGTGTAAGGAACTAAATTTGAATGACTTCTAGTTCTGGCCAAGTGAGGAATTGGGAACTAAAGATAGATAACATTATGCATATAGTAAATCAATATAAATAATTCTCGGTAGACTACCATTCAATCCTTTAGTTCCTAATAAAACAATCTCTTTTCGGAAATCCCTAAACTTTTTTTCTTTTTTAGGTAAGTCTGTGAGGTATGTTTAATACTCCTTGACAATTTCACAATGATCAATTTATTATGTAAATGAAATTTGCACTACAGACTGATCACAACAAGAAAGCCTCTGATAAACCATCAGGTTATTCATAGATTTATATTCCCAATAGTTATGCAGATAATATTTGTTCAGAATAAAAATCACCATCAAACTGTAATCAGCATTTTCTTTTTAGACAAACTAGATAATATTTTGACATTGATGTATGTTTTATTTGGTAAAAATGGTCGGTATTTTATCACTAAGACATTCAAACATTGATTCATATAGTAAAATGATAGATTATTTCAGTTATTTATTTAAATACTTTAATATACTGGAAATAAAAGAGATTTGTTATTTCAAAATACATATGTATATCACTGGTTGAAATTATGAGTCAATTGAAACTGGACCACCATGGAAAACCTGGAAGCACTGGATGGCCGTTTCATCCTAGTATGGAGTCCTAGTGAGAAGCCGCTACCAGTGGAGTTCAACCAGGTCTGTTGTGAGATATCAACTCACTGAAGACAATGGTGTAAGGTGGCGCAACTTCGTGGATTGGTTGAAGTTAGACATTAACACCGCTGGATGCCGGTTCAGTGGTCTAGTTGGTTAAGCGCCTGGGGCGAGACTGATAGGTCCTGGGTTCAAATATCACGGGGTGCGGGATCGTGGATGCGCACTGATGAGGAGTCCCACAATAGGACGAAACGGCCTTCCAGTTCTTCCAGGTTTTCCATGGTGGACTCATAATTTCAACCAGTGAAATTTCTAAATTCTCCAGAACACCCCTTCACATATGTATATGTTAAGATATATGGCGTAAACATACTTTGTTAGGTCATATGAGAATACTTACCAAATTTTTAAGTGAATTGAAAAAAAAAATGATTGAACCCCTTCATCATTTTATAAAGTTTACAATCATAGCTTTCAGAATATAACTGTTATCTGGTTCCTGAGGTCATAATTCTACTTTTTTAACCGTTAACCATAAAAACTAGTCTTTACATATTCTTCATAACTAAAAACGTCATTGAAAACAGAGTGTCCTAATAACATAAGAACATAATTTTCACATGAAAGTTTTCTAAGTGTTAATTAAATGTAGAAACTTAAAGGCAATTACAACTTAATTTCGCTTATTTGTAAAATCTCAGCAAAAGAATGTGAAGTAAATCCAACATTTCGCCTAGCAATCTGGTTCAAGCTTTTTCAAGGAATACAAATACATTCTTCCTATTTAATGACTCACATTAACTCAGCGCCCAAATATTGTGAAAGTATTCGTTCAAATTTAGACGAAAGTTCTTATTCTGCTAGAATCTTTTCATTAGAAAAAATATGACATATGAATCAGTTTACTTTTCTAATACCTAAATAATGTGATAATCCTATTGATCATCAAGTATGGAGTGAAATCATTTCAAGAAGCAAAATGAACTGATTCATATAATAAATTTCATACAACGTTAATCTTCTTTTACGATTCTAAACTGCATTCACATATTAGTGTAACATTATATTATGTGGACCTGCTACCTTGGAAAAATGATTTGTCACAAACTGATTAATTGCAAATTTGTCTGGGACTTCGGTTATTTTGTTAACAAGTTACTTGCCTTTAATAAATTTACATTTTTCTTAAAGGCTAATCAAAAATGAAGAGAATGAAAATCATAACCTATGTAGTTATATGTATATAACAGTTATCCCCTCTCAGTTTCTTAGTGTTCTTTTTTCTAAAAGTACTCAGTATCTACCTTAGAAAAAACGCTTCATTAAAATAAGATTTTGAATCAATACTAAACAATTCTCAAACACGAAGACCAGTAGTCTGTAACATTCGAAACCGTATTTACTAAACAAACAAGTATTGGTTGATGACACAAAAAAAGTATAAAGGCATTATAGTGTAAGCAACTGAATCAGTAAAAAATATACGTAGGATAGAAGTTGAATGTAGAAAGTTTTCTGACTGGGAATTCAATATACCTAAAAAATATACTTACCAGAATATCTATACCAGATATTTATGCTGAGAACAACGCTTGTTCAAGAAACAGTTTTATGGGTAAGTAGCAGAAATCTAGTTTTTTTGAAAATTATGATCAGATATTTAAAATGTTTTATCGTTATCCTAAAAGTTAGCAAATGTGAATGGATTTTAACAAGTCATTTTAGCTATAAAATAAACATTCAGTACTTAAGGGAAGTGATTAACTAATTAAAATAACAATTGTATGGTGACTTGTACAAATTTCTCATTAATTTAACTTATTTATAAATTGAGTGTAAACATTTTGATAATTTTTAAAAACAACACACTGCATACTGTAATTTTTTGTGATTGTGTAAAACTAACTACACGGGTAAAAAGATCAGGACAGTAACAATCTACTATGGTAGAGAAAAAACCAGCTTTCAAATGAGGAAATTCAGAAGCGATGCTGGCAGTGGATAGAACACACACATTTCGGAAATCATGAAACCATATCACGAAACAATCCTCAACTTGGAAGCGTGCAGGCAAAAGCAAAAGAGGAAGATCAAAGAACACATTGTACCGGAGTTGAAAGTAAATATGAAAAGAAGGAATAGCAATTGGAAACAACTTGAAAAGAGATTCCAGGACAGAGCTGGTTGGATAATCCTGGTCGGTGGCCTATGTAACAGACGCAAGCAATTAAGTGACTATCAAAGTTTTTACGGCAGGTGATAAGAAGATTTGAACAAAGCATTGTGTTTGCAAAGAGTGAATAATCTAAACTTACATTTGCATGTTCTTCCATACGTTCATCACATAGTCGAGTTTTCATAAATATGAGCTCTATTAAGAATTTAACTTCTTCCTTTTATCGCATGTTTTTCCATGTGATTAGTAGTAAATAGTTATAAAAGTCATTATTATTTAACTGCCGCAGTGTTATCTTACAACCTTAGACATGTCTGATTTCAGATTAAGTCCTCTCCGTTAAAGAGAAAGAATGCGTTTGTAAAAACTCAGAGAAAGAATTTGAATTAAATCCAACATTTCACCTAGCAATCTGGTCCAAGCTTTTTCAAGGAAATATAATCAAGCATCAAAATTATCGAATGTAGATAAGTACATGTTTCTTCTTGAAAAAGCTTGGATCAGATTGCCAAGCGAAATGTCGAATTTACTTCAAATTCTTTCTCTAAGTTTTTACAAATACATTCTTCCTCTTTATTGTCTCACATTAACTCGGCGCCCAAATATTGTGAAAC